ACTTTAAATGTCGCGTCAACAGTGACGTCACAACAACAGCAACAACAGCAACAGCAACAGAAACAACAGCAAGAATATATCTGTCTGTCTGTCTGTCTGTCTTTCTGTCTGAGTGTCTGTCTGTCTGTCTGTCTGTCTATCTGTCTCTCTTTCAAGCACATCTACTGTCTCTCCGATTCTCACCCTCTCTCTTTCTTTCTTTCTCTCTCTCTCTCGCTCTCTCTCTCTCTCTCTCACTCTCTCTCTCTCTCTCTCGCCCTCTCTCTCTTTCCACCACTCCCTACTTCCTTCTCTCTGCATCTTAACCCCTTCCCTCCCACCCATCTCCCTCTCTATGTCTCTCCCTCTCGATCACTCTCTCCGTCTTTCTCCCTTATACCCCCCCTCCCTTTCGCATCCCTAAAAAACCCAACTCCTTCCTAATGGCTCTCTTCTTCTCCTTACCAGATCTATATCTGGCCCTAAAGTAATGTAGCGCAAAAAATGTTCTCAATTTTAATCATTGTCCCCAAAGTACATTTTGCTCCCGTTAGGAAAAGATGTAGCCAATTTGCACTGATTACCAGATAACATAGGACGTCCTCATATGATATAAGCTTGATAAATTGTTCCAATTATTTTCTTTCACCTTTCAAAGAGTTTTTTTTATTTACTCCTGTCGAGGGTTCTTCAATTTAATCGTGGCCACAACTCTCTTGATCATGTTATTTCAACTCAATGACAAATTTCTCGGAAAAGTAACGTTCTATTGAGATGCGTTGGGGACAATATTTGTGACAATGGTCATTAGGTTTAAAACACATGATAATTTAGAGGTAACACAAGACACGAATTTATCCCACGAATGTACTTTTACACTAATGATAATTGGTCAACCCAACTATATAAAGCACCAACCTGTTATCAGCCGGGCTACAGTGTCTCTGCCAAAGACACACCCACTCACCTCCCCCTCCCCCAAGTACCTTGTCTTGGTCACAGCAGACCCACCCACTCACTTAGTAGAAAAGGTGCGTATTATAGTGTCCAATAGCGTGTTCAGTGCATACCTAGCATGACAAGTAACTGTTACAGATAGAGATTCAAGGATTATAGATGTAAGTCATTGATCTGAGAGCAATGATGATTTTAGAACTTCAATGGTGGTGATGAGTGATGCTGTGGGATTGCGTTTAAGTAATGTTAACGTTATTCCTGTCTTCCTCTACTCCAATGAGTCACGAGTGACGTGTATCTAGCTTACGATTATTATTGTTTATATTGCTGCTCATTCGTATTATGCATGTGATTGTAAGCCTACGTGTGTGTGCATGTGTGTACGCGTGTGTGCGTGTGTGCGTGTGACCGTGTGTGTG